TTTGGCCAGTTTGGGTCAGCTGTCCTGGCTGTGCCCCCTCCCAGCTTCTCGCTGGCAGGGCAGGAGAAGCTGAAAAGTCCTTGACTAGTGTAAGCACTGCTGAGCAACAGCTAAACCATCGGTGTGTTCCCAACATTACTCTCATGCTAAATCCAAAACACAGCACTGTACCAGCTACTAGGAAGAAAATTAACCCTATCCCAGCCGAAACCAGGACATAAAGATACAGTGGTGACAGAGATGGTATCAAGAGTCCTTATGTAAATATCGATGGAGTTATTAATTGGAAAGGTCTACCCGCCTGACTTAAGGGGGTTGGCAGCATTTATGCTCCCGGGGCCCAAGCGTGGATGAGAGCGGTTATGTGTCACAGCATAGTGAGGAGGGGCTGATCACAGCCTATGAATTTGAAATGCAGCTGGATTTATTCATTTACTGTGATAAAGATGAGGTGGCAATGCAGACCCCAGCCTAAGGTGGCAGGTCCCTAGGGCCATGTGGTTTTATCTAGAAGGGCAGTGAAAGTAGATCGTAGAGGAGTGTATGCAGGGGACTGTGAGAGACAAAATCCCATTTGATACTCCTTGTACAGAAAACAACACGGGGTCTTTTATGGTAAGAATAATTAAGCAGAATCAAAATTACAAAGGGGTTTTTGACAGCCACTATAACCTGAAAGTTATGTTTTGTGTTATCAGTGCGTTGTGCCAGTGGCTAGTGACACCTTTCAGGGACCACACGCCTCACCACGGGCATATGGAGCAAGAGTGCCAACGCCGCAGCGCTTGTCTGACGTCCTGGCTGCTGCCAGGGTCTGGCAAGCCGGTGCCTAGGTTAGGAGTTACCTCTGAAAAACTCCCTGTGAACGCACTCTGCTATTAAATTAGGAAGAGCTTTGGGAAGGGTGGCTCTGCCACCCTTGACATTTTTCCTGCAGGTGCCATAGAAGACAGTCTGGCACGTTAGGGTCACCTATGATCACATTTTTTATGAGCCTTGTTACTTCCAAGAGCAGAGTATATTTTAGCAGCCTTAAAATGCCAGCACTTAGTATAATGGCTGGGTCATTCTGCAGCTATTGCCAGAAACCTAATTGCCCATTTGGAAGGAAGAAGAGAGATGTGTCATTTTATGGAGGGTTGCAATGTGTGTGATTTTTTTTTTTTTTTTTTTCCCTGCAGGTGAAAAATGATGAGTGTGTTGCTTTGTTAGTGTCATTTGCTGCTTGTGCGTTTAGCATCACTGATTTTATGTATTGTATTCTCTGTTTGAGGAGCTGTTGGCTACGAATAACCAGTAATCTCTTGCTTTTGTCTGATCTCTCTTAATTGTACGTGTACTTCCTTTCCTTCCGTGTGTGTGGTCAGGTGCAGGCTGTGTATGTTAGCGTGGTGTGCATATGCTGTATGCCAGAGGCCTTTTGTACTTTGGGTAAGAGAAAAAAGCGGTCGTGTATGATGTGTCATGGGCTTGTAGTAATTACAAGTCAATAACATGAAATTATTAGTCATGTTTTCTTCTCAGCTGTCAAAGACAGCTCTTGAGTTTCCTGCCTGTCTCTTTGAGAAGTTTACATTTCCTCTGAGTAAGCAAAATACCCACCTTTTCTTAAGCAACTTTAGGTCAGCTTCAGTGACGTGGTATCCAATCTCAGCTGTATTTGCTGCCTGTCTTCAGTGAAGCTGAGCTCAGTCCGCTGCCAACCCTCCAGCTGTGTCAAAGCCTGCAGGCTCCGCTGCAGCTGCATTGAGCTCTGAGCTCAGTCCGCTGCCAAGCTGTGTCAAAGCCTGCAGGCTCCTCCGCTGCAGCTGCGTGCCTGGGCAAACCTGCAGCTGGGGCCAAAGCCCGGACAGGATTACCTCCAGCTGTGTCAAAGCCTGCAGGCTCCTCCGCTGCAGCTGCGTGCCTGGGCAAACCTGCAGCTGGGTCCAAAGCCTGTGGACAGGATTAAGCCCAGTTAGATTAATGTTCTAGTGGAGGAGAAAGTGTAACTGCAGTAATACCAAATTACAAATGTGGAGGTAGATGCAATCCTCGTGCAGCCTGAGGGTGCTAAAATGGCTGGCAGTGCCAGGCCTGTGCTGTAAGCTGTGGTTAATTGACCTGGTCTCCCAGTTTTGCTGCTCTGAACTTTCTAGGTAAGTACTTGCTAACAGCATGACTGTCCTTTTAATGCTGGGGTGACTCCTGCTTAAAAACAAAGTCATCTTAGCATAAAGATTTTAAATTTTCCTTGCAATAACTGTCATCTCTTTGAGGCAGTGAGATAAAAGGTGGATATGCAAAATATCCCAATCAACTGCTCCCTAAATTCTTAAGACCTGACAGCACATCAGTAGCCTTGCTGCAGTTGTGAAGTTACCTGGTTTGGGGTTTCTGTTATTTTAAAATGTAAATAATGGGCATGTTCAATATTAAAAAGCTGCTGCTTGTGAACAGTGATTATAAAACTTCCTAGTGCGGTCACGTTTGTACACCCGTAACTGGGCCGTGACTGGCAGTGCATGGGAGCAAGTCCATCCCATAACAAAGCTGCCGGAGCTCCTGGGGCAAGCTGGGCCCAGGAGCATCGCGTGGTGGCTTCAAATGCACACGTGTGCTTTCCAGATACCCTTATCGCTCCAAAGCAGCATGCCACGTTTCAGCCACTAGGATTGGTGGGGCTTTTTTTGCTTGTTTTCTTTAAATTTAGTAGCTGGAGCACAATTCTGCAGTGGTGGGTGGTGTCAGTGGGAAGTTTCACTTCTCTGGTTTACCAGAAGCTTGAAGGCAGTTCCTTGAGTGGTTTGGGCAGAGATTTCTCAGGGTTAGAGGAGAGATGAAAGATTTTCTGCAGGTGAAATGTCTCTGTGGGAATGGGGGAGGAAGCAGACTGCTTCATGGGTGCTTCTTAAAAATGGAGCATCCCATAGGATGGGAGAAGCGTCTTGCAAGATGCCTGTCCTTGGCAGGCATGGTTTAGCAGTAGCCAGAGAGGCCAAGAGCATCATCTCGTTCTCTTCTCCTGCCTTTTGGCTTAGATGGGAAGAAAACATAGCCACCCCGAAACCTCAGAGAGGCTTATGCCCCGTAATATAATCTATGGTGCACCAGCACGCAGGTTCAGATAGCAGCAAAGAGCCCTCGGTAAGACTGGTGACCGTTTAATGAGCCTGTGTAAATGAAAAGTGCTGTGAGGACATGGAGTGTCCTGACTGCTCAGGAAATGATCTTGACTTAAATGTAATCTCCAGTTGGTCACAGTGAACTTCACTGGTGTAATTGCTGCTAATATACTTCCGCGTGCTGCCTGTGCGGGGATCGGTAATGACAAGGCAGCAACAGAGCAAGAAGCAGGGAAGGAGATGACGCTTTGAGCCTGCTTTTATTTTACTTTTATATACTCATTGTGCCAGATCCTTGTCATGCTTTTTAGCCCTTGCTGTGGTTTGTTGTTTGAATGTCACCGTGCTATTTGAAGTTTAATTGCTCTGCTAGCTGCAAGACCCTGGTTTAATGTGTGTTTTTTGTAAGTTTGCAGAAGGTACAGAGTTGTTGGTGACACTGAGAGTCACTACAAATCATGTAGCTGAGGCAGAAGAAGGAGGAGGAAGCTGCGCTGTGGCACTTCATTCCCCAAAAAGTATTTGCATGAACAGACACAACTTCACAGTCTCCTGGTCCTCGCCTCAGCCTTTTGTGCATGCCAGTGAGTTGATTTGGAGAGGAGAAGTTTGATCTCAGCCGTGAACCAGATAACGTGGAACTTCTTGCAACAAAAGGGAATTGCACAGCAAGTATGTCAGGGCAGTATGTTTCTGACAGTACGCTAAAAAGCTGCCTTGACAGCAAGCCGTGGAAAAGCGAGCCATTAGAAACACGTGGTAATAGTATGGTGTTTGTATAAAAAAGTAAGAATGTAACTGACATCCTGTTGTGCCTGTAGAATTGCAGCTCTCTATGCAGCATCAATAGCTGTGTGTTCTTGTTTGAATAGGAGTGACACTGGCACTGGAGAAGTTGTTAGTGCGTGATGGTCACACTGGGAGGTTTTCCTGAACCTTCCTGTAAATGCTGTTAGTTATATTGCAGAAAAAAGACATGGTATAGAAAGGGCAAGGGCTGTGCATAGGTGTAGTGCATCGTGCCAAAGTTTTCTGGCTCTTTTCCTTCATTCTTTTGTTTATCTTCTCTAAATTGCAGGGCACAAAGGGCTGATGGTTATGTGTTTTCTGGTAGCCAAAATACCATAAAACCTATGCATTTGCTTTAAATGGGGGTGTGGTGGGGGTGGCAGTGTTTTGTTTTTGTTTTCTGTGCTGCTTGGTTATAAAGTGCTGTACTGACATTGTAACACTTATTTCAGACACGGTCATAGGCATTCTCTTTCTAAATCTGATAAGGGCACAGTAACCCGTGAAACCAGCCTGTGCCTGTATCTTAATCTAGGGACTATAGACAAGCAGCTGTGGGGAAAGCTGTGCTCCTGCAAAATCCATTGCTGTCAAGTTGGAAATGATGCCTAAAACAACAGCAAGTCTGGGTTTGTCTATTTGCAGAGGTCTGGGTTAATAGAAAAAGATGTGTTTTATTTGTATGGGTATTTGAGTGTACTTCTGTGGTAAAAATGTACTGCTTTTTGAATGCCCTTTCTCCTCACTCCCGCGTGAAGTGAAGGTAGAAGTCCTTCCCTAAAAACTTCATGGCTCTTTGGCAGAGCTGCTGTTCCTGATGTTCCAGTTCTGTTTCAGTCTGGGCAGTTTCCACTGGGCAAGTTGCTGAATTCTCCTGTTAGACAAAAGGCAGCAATAAACTCTTGGAGGGCTGGGTGATGTTAGGGCCAAATCACTCCAGCTCAGTCAGCCCCCTGCTTTGCCTGGCTGCGTGAGCTTCTCTGCATCCCGTCCCACCCCACCCCATCCCACGCTGTGCTGCAGTCCTCGGGTGCTAAGCAGCAGGCAAAGACCAGCCCTGTGCTGTATACCGGTATCAGTAATGTACATAATTTGAAGCCAAATTTATGTGCTTTTACTGTTCTACATCAGAGAGAACCTCTCTCTATGAAATACATGTTTACATCAAAAAATTTATAAAACACATTAGTTTTAAACTCCATAATCTGACTTCAGAAATGATAGAAAATTTCTCTTCAGTGAATTATCAACTTTAGGACTGTATTTGATTAAATATCCATCAGTGCTTGACATCTAAATAATTTAGAACCTTCTCCCTTTGGAAAGAGAGAGGCAGCACGAGTGACCAGCCAGGAGTTCAGACGTGTGTAATTTTAAGTGGATAGGTCTTTGAAAGCACGTGGCTATGTTGTGTTTCCCTTATAGGTAGTTCAGCTTTCTAAAATTACATGGTGGTGGTAATTTTATTTTAGCTATTTTAACCACTGTTAGGAAAATGAAATTTACAGAATTTAAAAATGGCTTGCTAATTAACTGCTGTGGTTTGTTCTCTGTATTATTTTATCTCTAGATCAGTCGTATTGTCATCGGCTGCAGCACGACATGTATTTTCTTACAAGCAATAGCCGACTGAATGAGCAAGTGGTTGATAAAATTATTCTTCAGCTTAACAGAGTCTACCCTCAAATTCTTACCAATGCGGAAGCAGAAAAGGTAATTTGATGAATTTTACTCTATCTGAATGTTGCATTGTTTTCGTGGATCAGTAGCTCATCTGCCCTCTTCCCGATTTGACTCTTGTGCCACACGCAGCCAATCTTCCTCACCTCTTACTTGCTGACCAGTTGTATCTGGGATCTCATATCAGAGAAGTCACAGGGCTGGCACATTCCCTGTGCCAAGCGGTTATGAGAGAGGGCTCTCTCTTCAGCAGCAGCTTAATGCCGTGGTCTCTGCCATGACATCTGACGCCGTGCGTGCAGAAGCACACTATCTTATAACCACTCTGTGGACAGGATTGCAGCCATCGTGTGACCAAATGCCCTGCGTCCCTGCCTCCTCACATGAGTCGGTGTGGAGTGTCATGTCAGATGATCTGTGCTGCATCCAGCTGTGTCCACAAAATCATCTATATTAGCTTAAACAGTTTTAGTTGCTGATTAATGTGATTAATAACTCATGAGTATTGGTAGAGAAGGGGGGCATTAGTCCCACTTAGAAGTGTGGGAGCTGTGGGAATTGGATGGAGTTAGTATCATCTTCCAGTGGTGCTGCTATGTATGGAGGAAGGCTGCCCTCCCTGGCATGATGCTTTCAAAAATGGGTAGCTGTTTTTAGGGAGAAAGATCTTTTTGTGTGGAGTGAAAGTTGAAGTCAGTTAAAAGCTTCCCAGATCCTACTTATACCAGTTTGTACTTGCCGTCTGCTGACTTCATTATCTGCACAAGGCTTGGGGTTTTGATATATCAGTATTTTAACATTATGAAAAATAAGTCTAATTCTGTCATAATCAAACTCCATGGGGACGAATACTGTTTTGGTGGTGTAGAGCCGTGCTAGATCATCAGCTGAGGCAGTCTAGTCACTCAGTTATGATAAACAGTGTGACATGCACAATTAACGATGATCTCATTCCCTCAACAGCTTCAAAATAAACACAGAAAGAATCTGTGAAACATAATTTGTGACTTCTGCACTTAGCAGACAGAAATGAACTGCTTTCTCATAGGTCCAGGCAAGTTTCTGTCAACTCTATTGAGTGTTTAGGAAGCTTACAATCTCAGCTACATCCGGTAGACCTTGTGGGAATTTTGTCAGAATAAGGAGTGTTGTGTAAGGTATGTTGCATTCCTGTCCCCCTAGAGCAGGAATTGATCCTAACTAAGTGTACTGCAAATGTTATCTGCTGTACTGGTCTGAAATACAGTGCTTTGCTGAGAATGGCTTTGGACGTTTTCCAAAGAAGCTGAAATCAGTTTGATGTGTGTAAGGCTAGGTACGTGTTTTCATTCTCTTTGTATGGTCTCCTAATATTCATCACATTTTGGACTACGGAAAAAAAGTACTTTCTTCTGCAACTGCTTGCCATGCTGCCCCAGTAATGAGAATTTGTACGTGTTGCACTGGGTACGCAGCAGTTAATTGTGCTGGAAACAATGAAACATGTAATCTTGGGATGATGTACGCTCCAATATTGGGACTAATATAAGCAGTATAAAGTACCTTTTTGGGTGATCATTACTAGGCAACTAAGGAAAAACTTGAAAACAAAACTTTATTATATAATAAAGATTTGTTGATATTTTCTGTCAATAGCTGTCAGAATGAAATTGTAGAATAGCAAGTACCATGTTAGTTGGAATGCAGAGAAAACATCAAATGGAGAGTAGCTGTCACTTTATCAGGACAGGAAAAAGAATGAGGGAGGGCGGAGGCAATATGCTCCCCATCAAGCAGTGCTGACCAGATGGAGCTCAGTGTCTTGAAGACTGCTGTGCAATGCATGTCCTTTTTAGGTTCCCCTCATTTTTTTGGCCCATTCTTTTAGCAAATATAAAACAAGCTCTGTATCTTCACTCCCTGGCATACTGTAAAGTGATGTAGAATTGATCTCCAGCTGGTGTAATCTCTCTTCTGATGAGTGCTTTTCTCTTACAGTTCAGGAATCCAAAGGCATCACTCCATACCAGACTTTCGGATCTGATAAAGCACCTTCAAAAGAAAGGAGACAGACACTGTCAAGAGTTTTACAGGGCTCTACAGATCAATGCTGAACAGCTGTATAATGACCTGCCAAGCAGGAAAATCTTGAGTAAGTTGATTTGTAAGTTGATTGAGTTGTGGATTTCCTCATCAGTGTATTACAAAACCTCGTTCAGATGAGGTTTAGGTTATTTAAATAATTTTGGGGGTATACATTAATTCCTTCTGACTGGAATTTTCCAAAAGCTGTAAGGGGATTTGACTGCATGGTTTTTATTGTTTGTTGACTAGTGTGGGCAGTCTAAAACTCTTTGATTGTTTTGAAATACAAAATATGTCTTCAAAACAGTTTAAGTGCAACATGTAAGACAGTGATATAACTTGTATGAAGTACAATTTCTCTTTTCATAACCATTGCTTCTTAATGGCTTGTTTATTTCCTCTGTGTTTATTCTGACTTGCAGCACGTAAGAACATTACAAACCTCAAATTTGTTAAGCTCAAAACTCTGGTGGCCCAGAAGCTTGGCTTTCCTTCAATCCGTAAATCTCCTAGTTGTGTCTAGTTTAACGTGAAACAAACATTCATAGGCCCTTGCAATGATGAACTGTGATATTAATCACTTAGGGCTTGTTTTGTGCAGCTGGCAGGCCTGACTGATGTCCGTAAAGCTGCCCCCCAAATATACATGTACGTACTTCAGAAGGACTGAGGCTCAAATAGATTTGATTCTGTACCGCAAAGGAGCTCATTTCTTTAAGGAAAAGTATCAAGCCTGACTTGCCAACCTGGGGTAATGCTTGCTATGTGTTGGTGTTTCTCCCCCCGCCCCCTACCTAACGAACTGGAGAAAAGAACCATGTTCCAAATGGATGGGAAATACGTTCAGGCATCCCGCGTACTGAAATGACTGAGGAGCTCGAGGGAGAGCTCCCACATTTAAGTTAATGAAGCTGCAAAGGGATTGCAGTTTAAGAAATCCTTATAAAGTATCTAACAACACTAATGCTTGACCAGTCAATTGATTTCTAGTTATAAGAAACTCCACAGTTAGGTGCCAGGGGAAATTTTAGACATGTGGGTCAAACTCCAGTGACATTCAAACCGTTACACCAAAAGTCCATAGGTTTAAAAAAACAATTAGACCTCTCTTATTTCTGGAGTGAAAATGGCACATAAAATTGTAATTACCTTTGAAGATACTGAGTTGTCTAGCTTTGTTTTGCCTTTCATTTTGAAGGAAAAGCTTTGTATCTACCCAGCACAAATATGTACCAGTGGAAGACTGCACCATTTTCCTGCCTGCACAGGGAGGCTGCAAAGTTACCCCAGGTCTTCATGTCCCATACCCGAACCCTCTTGAACTGGGAAACTCTGGGCCCATCCCTGCCTCAGAATCTCAGATGAGCTTTGATTCAGCCTTGCAGCAGCTTTAAGGCAGTGCTTTTGATCTAATACTCACCTTGCAGAAGTCATGCCCTTTGAGGGAACAGGCTCTTAAATCAAATAGTCTTGGATCAATCATTTTTACTTGGGTGGAGCTCAAGAGCAACAGGTTTTTCTGCCAGGCTGACTAGAAGGCAGTAGACAGCCTATATTAATTAAGAGCAACTTAAGAAGTCTTAGTGTAGTCACTAAGTGTATACACTAAGAATAAAATTTCAAGAGTGTATTGATGGTTCGAGAGTTTAAGCTCTGTTAATGTTCAATAACACTTACCTTCTACAAGCCGTTTCTGAAAATGTGTCTTAATGCGTGTACACAGTAGCCAAGGACTGACTTAGATCCCATATAGACAGTCTGAGTTCAGCTGGGTACTAGAAATAGCATACCTGTGACCAAGTTCATCCGTACGCGTAAAACTCACATTGGAAGTTGTGCAGATGTTGCGAAGATGAACTCTCAACACTGCCTCATGCTGTTGGCACGCCTGGACAAACCAGCTGAAAGGAAACTTGCATAGGGTGCCTGCGTGATGTTTTCACTTTTATCTAGAGCATAAACGTGCTCGTCCTTGCACCTGATTTACATGCTTACTTCTGAGAGCTTTTACTCAGGTAGCCACGTGGGTAGGCAGGGTTAGGGCTTCTCATGTTCAGACTGCGCATAACAAGCACATGTGCTAGAAGTGCTTCACAGAAAAAATAGAGCTGTTTGTGGTGCCCCAAAACTGTTTTGCTGCTGTTGCATTATGCAAAGGGACTCCAGTAACCATCATAAATCATTAAATTCTCTGTATCTCTTATGTTACCATCCTCAGAACAATGAGAATAATTTAAATAACTGAGTTAAAATACTACTCCATGGTGAGATTCTGCAGTTTCCTTATATTGACCTGAGAAGGAAATAATGAGATAATTGTGTTTGCTGCTTCTTATGAGTTCTGTAACTAAAACAAATGTCTGCATTCTGGATTGAATGGTTGATAAACATCTGTGCAGCATTTTAAGCTAAAACTGCAAACAATTTTATTCTTCAGGAAAAGCTCCCTTTTCAATATGAGGTGTTATTTCTCATTTAAGTGAACTTGAACATTTTGAATATTAAAGGCATTATCCTTCCAACCTCTAACATGTACAATTTTTATGTTACTCAAATGTTACTCACAGTAGTAGTTGTTAAATTTGTCAAATTTAGCACAGAGCATTTACAGAATTGACACTAGAATTTGTAAATGTGAGGAAAAAAGGGAATCCCTACCACTGGGACTTTGTTCTAAATGCAGATTGAACTGAAACAAGCAGCATTATAAACAACTGGAGAAATTATCGGTGAGGACACTGATGAACTATGGCCAGGACAGAGTTCTGTAACGTTTTCTACAGAGGAAATCCTTTCAAAGATCTCTTTCTCATTTTTAAAACAACTTTAAAATTTGTGCTAGAACAAAATTTCTTTGCCTCAAGTATAATATTGCAAGTGAAATGTTCAGTAATGTCTCAGAATTCCCACTAGAGGGTGGGTAAGGCACGTGGCATGGGCAGCTTCAGAGCTATTGAAGCCAAACGGGATCTTCCAAGTGACTCAGAAGATGTTTTTATTTCTCTCAACGCTGACACAGGCTAGAAAGGTAAAGGATCAGATCAGCCCCGCGCAGCGATAGCCTGACAAAAGTGCAGAGATTTGACTGTGCTCTTCCTGTGAAGTGTGAGGATTTCTTAGCTAGAGGGAAGGAGGACATCCCTCAAAACAGGCAGGCTATGTAAGATCGCCGTTGACACAGAGTGCGCCATGGAGGCTTTGCGGCAATCCTTTCTGCTTCAGTGACTCTCAGGCTTTGCAGCAAAGCGCTTCAGATGTTTCTGTTCTGCTTGAATGCCATGCCCTGTCACCCCACCGAGAAGGACGTATTTAGCATGGGAGACCGGTGTTCACCGACTGTTCACTGTGGGCTGACAGCGGGTCCCCTTTGCTGACTTGGTGTACAGGGCGGTTTTCCAAGGCACCTCACCTAGCTCCAGATTGTCACCGAGAAGAAGGAAATCAGATGAAACCAAACAGTCTCAAATTCTTCCCTACTGACAGCCAAATTTGGAGCTCTCCCACCGAGAAGGACGTATTTAGCATGGGAGACCGGTGTTCACCGACTGTTCACTGTGGGCTGACAGCGGGTCCCCTTTGCTGAGGTGGTGTACAGGGCGGTTTTCCAAGGCACCTCTAGCTCCAGATTCTCACCGAGAAGAAGGAAATCAGATGAAACCAAACAGTCTCAAATTCTTCCCTACTGACAGAAATTTGGAGAGCTCTCACTTTTTTCCCTTTTTTTTTTTTTTTTTTTTTAACCCTCTTGACCACAAAGAGGTTTGGCCAAATAAGTTGTTTTGCAGATTCATGATGCATTAAAGGAAATTCGTTCCTCTGCCATTTATGGTGACAGTGGTGTTCTTTGGTGTTGTACACATGTTCTGCAGACAACGTTATCTCCACATCTGTATGGCAAAGGCACCTCTAAAAGAGCTGCAGGTCTTTCTGCCCAAAGCAGGAACTGCTTTATTGCTGCTAACTACTGAACACCTTGTCTTAAGGTCAACCTCCTTTTCTACTAGAATTTGCAGAAAGCTAGAGGCAAAAATTATTTGCGCCAAATGTTAGCATGTAGTACCTACAGACTTCCAAAGAAGCTGTACGTGTCTTTAGCTGAGACCAGGATTTAGATAGAACAAACTGCTTGGCGCAGATTATTAAGTGCTTCATCTGCCAGATACGTTAATGCCCAGAGATTTACTCAAGAACAGAAGGAATGGTGATGAATTAAATTATAGGGGTGTTTTCAGATTAGCACATATATTAACAAATAGTTTGTATATATTACAATGAAAATTTCTGGCATTATGGAAGGATTAGTTCTTGCTTTCCTCACTTGGGAAACAAGTGTAATGTTATTTATGTGGTGAGTGCTTAACCAGATCAGAGGTGTTGCTGCAGCTATTTCTAGTTGCATTCAAATGACACTGTGCCTATGTCTTTTGATCAACATATATCCGGATTTAACTATAGCGATGATTTACCTTTGGAGGGGTTAATATTTTATGTCAAAATTGGATATTTTTCTGAAATGTGGTGTTTTGCACAATTTTGCATGTGCTGATTATGTTTGTTGGCTTGAGCTGAGTACTAACTTTTCATGTGTTGCTTTTATTTCTAGAAACCACAGATTCCACAGAGATAGACACTGACAAGGAGAAATATATGCTAAATGACAGGGGTAAATAAATGCATACAGTGTCACCGGATGGAATGGCTTTTCAGATTATGATGCAATTTATTTTATCATGTAATTTGCATTTCATGTAACAACCAATTTGTTTTATGATGTCTTTACTGTCACAAGTTAAGTGGAATTAATGGAGGAAAACATACTGAGCTGCTGTGGAGGAAACCAGTGCCAGGAAATTCAAGAGACTGTAGAGTTTAATCAATATTTACAATGGTATTTTTACTTACACAGTTATAGCTAAACTCTTCATTTCCTATGATTTCTTCAATGCTTGAATAGTAAGGTCTATTCAGCTGCTGCTGCTGTCATTTTGCATAAGGCCATCAATAATTTTTTTTACACAACTTTCAAATTTTTTCAGTTTTTTCAAGCTTTCAGTTTAAGTACAAATCATTTGAAAACACAGACAGAAAGAAAGAGGACCAAGGGTGAACTTAAATATATTCTCCTTAGGAAAAAGTTGGTTTTTTTCCCCTTCCTCTGTTCAGTGCCTCGATTAGAGGCAAATATTTTATTCGCTGAAAGATATTTTGAAAATGAATTGAAGATCGGAAAGAAAGCTGAAGAATTTTCAAAATTTATAATGAACTCTTTCATCATTTAAGTTTAATTGATATCTTATTTAGAAATTTGGATACAACTGTGGGAGAATAAGAGCACCTTCTATGAACTGTGCCTTTTTGCCAGTTTTCCCCTGAGAGAAAACCGAAACGAGGGGCAGGAACACAGTTTAACTCAATGCGTATTTTTGCCTGGGTTGTTGTTACTTTGAACACTGAACCGAATTGTTATTCAGATTTTTCACATCGCTGCTGCTGACTGCAGCATAACAGTACAGGAAGAACAGAGAAAAGTGTTTGGAAATAAGAAAATTAAGCACTCTCTGTTCTTACTCATGCTGGTGAAGGAGCTGGCCGCAGACTGGAGATTGTCCGGCTGCTAGCCACCCTCGTTGGGAGATTACATCGAAGGAGCAACCAAGTCCTTGCTCCTTTGCTGTTTCTCCAGCGTCCTCGTCCGTGTGGTCAGCTCCACTAATTTCTTAGTCTGCAGTACATTTGTCCTTAAATTGACAGGTGCAGTTTAATTGTAGCTATAGTCATAGCGAAGTAGTAAATACAAATAGAATATTAGATAATAAAGAAGCAGATATAAATCTTTATGAGGTTTTGTCTGTGGATAAGTATGAATTAGAAAGGTTTTATCGAACATCAATACTGAACATCAGCGTTAAACTGCATGTAATTCCAGGCAGGCACATGAAGGAAATGTTTCCAGTGGGAGATGTATCTTAGGTGTGCGTGTGGCTCTGCATTTCAGCTTCCAGCAGAACTGTAAACAGGAACAAGAATATTTGCTCTTGTCATGAAAGTGGAATTTGTGGAACATCTGTGGGGAAAAAACAAAACCCTAAAAATCTGCTTCTAAGGGGCTGCAGTCTCATATGACGTACTCTTACCCACAGGCAGTGCACTGGCCCCGTGGGGGCTATTTACAGAGTAAAATGCCACACTGTGGTGAGGTCCCGGTAGGCTGGTTAGTATTTTGTTATAGGGTTTAAAGGGGTTTTTGCACAAAGTTTTAGAGTCAGAAAACATCTAAGGAAGCTTTCACTTAAATTTCATAGGATATAACTAGATGAACAGAGGCGAACAGTGAATGGTGTCAAAGCAACTGTAGTAAAAATTAATTACAGTATTGTAAATGTGCTTCATAGTACATTAGCTACAGAACATACATAATTGTGAATGTGTTAGCTTCATTTGAATACACTTAATTATGCATATTAATAGCAATTGATGATTTATGAACTGAGCTAAACTTCCACTGCTCTCTTCTGTCTTAATGTGTTTCCTTTTTCATTTTCTTTAGGTCCAGTGTTTTTCCTCGCTTGTTTTAGCGTTGCTGCAGGATTTGCATTATTTTGGTATTGCTGTAACTCAGGTAATCTACTCCGGTGTTTATTCTCTTGGTTGCCTTACTTCAGCACGGGGCGGGAGAGCAGCGTGCCTCTTGATCTAACATGGCTTACTTAATAGAGCGGGTCAAGGTGTCATCATTCATTAATGAGGTTAGGATACAAATTGCGCTTCAGACATGCCGAGATGTAAATAATGGATCGTTTGCCTACAGCGGAAGCCACAAACAGGGGCTCTTTTTAAAGACAGTAGTCATGTGAGCCCCTGTTGCTATAGCAATGGGTCGTGATTCCCAGCAGTCATGAGACAGACCCAAACCTTCTGGCTTCCGCATCCCTCGGGAGCTGGTTGAAGCGTGACCAGTGCCAGGGCTGGAGGCCACTGGCTCGATTTGCTGAGCCCGAGCAGGTACAACCGTTGCCCCTGTTGCTGGCTCTGGGTGTTAGCTCTCCCTGTCGGCTGAAAGTCGCCGGCTTCACAGCAGCCAGCAGAGCAGAGCTCCCGCTCCTCTTCACGTTCCTACCTTCCACTCGCCCAACGTTGCTGTGAGAGCGGCAGCTCTTAGCAGAAAGTGTGTTGATGCATCCACATGGATCAACTTCAGCGAAGCAGAGAGTCAGTGCTAGTGGGAGAGATCCAGGGGGAGAGAGTAGCTGATTCAGAGGTGTCACTTTCTCTCGAGTCTTCGCATGGTGCTGTGGGACGTGCCAGTCTTCACGCGGTAGATGGGGAGCAGAATCCAAACTCCATTTTGGTTTAGTGCCTTCTGCTCCTCATACCCCGGTCACAGCAGTTACAGTTGGACATTGTTCTTTACTATTTTTTTCCCAGAGCTGTAGGCTACAGTAGCACCAGTTCGTGGACATTTCAGGTGATGTGGGAGTCTGGGCTGTGTTACCCTTCACTCCCAGATCAGAGTCCCTCAGCTGCACTGTCCATGGAGTCAGGGTTTAAGGCTAAAAGGGAACCAATAGACCTTCAAGGCTAATCCGTGTGTTTCCTTAGCTGCCGTCACTTCCCTTCAGCAGGTTCAGTCACCAGCATTTAATAGAAGCATTTTCAGAAAAGCATTCAGGGACTGATACCAAAAAAACAGAGAATCCGTCACTTCCCTTGATCCCAGTTAATTTTCCATAGCATTAGAAGTGTGTGTCTTAGTTGGAACTGGTTTCAGCTCCAGCCTATCATTTTTGTTAAGCCTTTCTCTACCAGATTGCAGAGCCCCTTTAGCCCCTTGTTTCTGTGTCAGCTGACACTTCATATTTTCTCCCTGTGGAGGTCCTTGTGCCTCAAGTCAGCTCTCCGTCTTTATTTTTGCTAAAATTACCAACTAATCTCTCCAAGCCTTTTGTTCCAAGGCTCTTGTCCTGGTTTCGGCAGGGATAGAGTTAATTTCCTTCCTAGTAGCTGGTACAGTGCTGTGTTTTGGATTTAGGATGAGAACAAAGTTGATAACACACCGATGTTTTAGTTGTTGCTAGGTAATGCTTACACGAGCCAAGGACTTTTCAGCTTCCCATGCTCTACTGACTGAGAAGGCTGCAGGTGCATGAGAAGCTGGGAGGGGGCACAGCCAAACTGGCCAAAGGGACATTCCATACCATGGGACGTCATGCTCAGTACATATTCTGGGGAAAGCTGGCCGGGGGGGCCGCTGCTCGGGGACTGGCTGGGCATCAGTTTGCGAGTGGTGAGCAATTGCACTGTGCA